ACCGGTATTTTTGCATCCCTAGTTGTCTATGCACTAATTGACTCACCGCTCAAAACCTGAGTCGTCTCTTTGAACCCAAAATATCAATTCAAACTCTATTAGGATTAAATATACACAACCATACATTGATTCTATTAATAAACACATGTTAGTGCTTTTGGACTCTTGTCAGCTTGCAGCATTGCAAAAGAATGCATTTCTCGAGTCCAAACTAAGTATGCCTGCCAATTTCAACACAAGTTATTTATGCATTTCCCTGATTTCCTCTAGTTTGAAAATTTTAAAAAGAGGATGACACTAAAATGGAATAAGAAGATGCACACAATACAAAAGGTCAAAATAAAAACATTCTTTTTACAATGCTTTGTCAAAGTGCACTGACCTGAAGATGATTCCCCTCTGACAGTGGAGGGGGGAGAGGGGAACGAAACGCGTAAATCATTCTCAAATCCATTCTCCATATTTCGCTGTGTTGGTGTTCCAAAAGGGTTTTAAACATTCTAGAAAGTTGAAAAACTAAGGCCGATCTCATTTCCAAACCCTTCTGCTCTTTAATTCGTTTTATTTCCTGCTTATGTCCCGTATTTGAGAGCCGCGGACACGCAGGTATGAGAAATTGGTAAGCGGTGCCGCGCTGCCAACCTAACCACGCTAATGACCTGATTCAAAAATATGTTTTGAATATTTCAAACGATACTAAACAACGATTTGAAACAAACTCGTGTTGGGGGGTGCTAAGGCGACGTTAAATACGAAATCTTGAAACTATAGCCACTGTAGTTGCTGAGAATCGTTGGTGAGTACAAACAGAGTCACAGACAGACGCACGACCAGTCACTTTTCGGCGCGCCCAAACACGGCAAGGGCTTCGCTATCGCTCAGCCAAATAACTGTAAGATATAGGCGAAATTCCAAAATCGCGATAGGAACGTTTCGATGACGGAAATGAATTCATCTCAACAAGACGAACAAAAAATGATAAGCATATTATGGTCTCAGACTCGTATTTCAGTGGAAATCGTGATCAGAAGTCTAAAAAAGTAGGATTTTTGGACCCCTAACATAGAACTCATCAAATTACGTTCCAAAATTCTACTTTTTTAGACTTTTGATGCCGATATCTGTTGAATTTCGAGTCTGAGCCCATAGCATGCTTATCATTTTTTGTTCGTCTTGTTGAGATGAATTCATTTCCATCATCGAAACGTTCCTATCGCGATTTTTGAATTTCGCCTTTATCTTACAGTTATTGGCGAGCGATAGCGAGCCCATGCCGTGTTTGGGGGTACCAAAAAGTGACTGGTCGTGCGTCTGTCTGTGTGTCTGTAACTCACTCACGTTTCTCAGCAACTACCCCAGCCAGAAATGAACATTCGAAAAGAAGTCGATTCGACGTCTACGCAATCGACAATCCGGTGAGGTCGAAATAAGCATCGAAAATTCCCATATTTCGACACTGATTTTTGTCGACATTTTGCTAGTCAAAAATGTAATATCGAATCGATGTCGATTCGATATCGATTTCCGCTCAAACTTTCGTAATTAGTTCAGCATTATTAAAGCTCAAAGAATACGTCATACCATGGAATACTACAAACTCAAGAGTGTACATACATTTAAAGAGCCATAAAACTGCTATTTCTTTCTTCTGAAGGATCATCCGCTAGATGGCGCTAGCATCGTTTTCACGGACTTACTTCTCGGTTGTGGCTACGGTTGGGAATAGCATTGGGCAAAGGTGCTGGCCAGTCTACAATGTCTTCCCGCCGTGCGGAGACATGCCTCCTATGAGGGGGCTCAATTTTGATTTGGCGGGTCATCCGTCTGGCCATCTGAGCCGGGGACTTATATCAGCCAAGAGTCACCAGCGGCGTCCGGGAACATACGAAACACTCATCGAAAATGCATCGATATGCGTCATTATAAGGCCACGAATAGGGGACCGTTATCGACGCTCAAACCGACCTCGATTTTACGACCATAATAACCTCGAATCGAGCAAAAATTTCGACTGATCATCGATATCCGGAGACGACCTCGAATCGACCTCGTTTTGACTTTTCATTTCTGGCTGGGTACCGCACAAATAGTTTCAAAATTTCGCACCGGAAGGCTCCTAAATCTCCCCCAGGGGGAGTTTATCTTATATTCACGATTACTATTGTTTGAAATATTCAAAACATCTTTTTGAATTAGGTTCTTAGCGTGGTTAGGTTGGCAGTGGTTGGCGGCTCGTAGCAATTTTTCATACTTGCGGCCGCGACTCTCAAATACGGGACCTGGCAAAACATTGGCAAATAAAACAAACTAAAGAGCAGAAGGGCTTAGAAGTGAGTACGGTCATAGTTTTTCGATATTTTAGAATGATTGAAACCCCTCCGGAGTGTCAACTCAGTGAAACACGGAAAATGAAAGTGACAATTATTACGCGTTTTGTCCGTCCGTCCACCCCCTCCCCTCCCCCGCTACAGGGGTAGGGAAATGTTTTAGTCAGTGGAGTGTGTTTGATAATTGCAAGAATGATTTGGTCTTTTTAACCTTAGTGAGTGTATTTCCATTTATATTCACAGACACTATATTTTTTAGTTGTTTGCTTTGCTCAATAACACTTAAAAAATATATTAATACATTCTATGAGTACAAACCAGATGCTAATCTCGCCAAAATAATAAACTTGCGTTTAGCAATAAGTGGCCTCGACATTGGATTCTATGAAACGATTCATTGGATCTGACAGAAGGTCTTCTCCGTAAAGCAGTTGAAATCAGCCTGCCTGTAAATATGTCTCTTTTTAATTAATGCAGATAAATCAATATAGTTTAATCCACTAGTTTAAACTAAAAGGGAGAAAGGCTTTTTAGGTATTACTAATAACATTGCGTATTCATTACTTCAGTAACAAGGAGATATCGAATGGTAATTGAAGTTTTTGTGAATCGTATTAAGCAATTCAATGCTGGCTGTTAAATGTTACTCGACTGAGTAACAGGGTCAGGGTTCATGGTGCGACACCATGAACAGGAAACGCTCTTAAAAAACCTAACAACTGAAGACCCATATCAACTAGAATTACATACATGATTTAGGACCAAAATTTCCTCGGTGTTTCATTGCTTCCTGCAGTATTTGGTGTGCTGATCACAAAAATGACTTCCAATTTCATCCCAGACCTTTACTTTTCCAAATATTGACCAATTTTGGACCAAAATTTTTACATCGAGTTTTACATAGTTTCCTGCAGTTTTTGGTGTGCTGATCACGAAAATGACTTCCAATTTCATCTCAGACCTTTACTTTTCCAAATATTTACCAATTTCGGACCAGAATTTTTACATCGAGTTTTACATAGTTTCCTGCAGTTTTTGGTGTGCTAATCACGAAAATGACTTCCAATTTCATCTCAGACCTTTACTTTTCCAAATATTTACCAATTTCGGACCAAAATTTTTACATCGAGTTTTACATAGTTTCCTGCAGTTTTTGGTGTGCTGATCACGAAAATGACTTCCAATTTCATCTCAGACCTTTACTTTTCCAAATATTGACCAATTTCGGACCAAAATTTTTACATCGAGTTTTACATAGTTTCCTGCAGTTTTTGGTGTGCTGATCACGAAAATGACTTCCAATTTCATCCCAGACCTTTACTTTCCCTAAAATTTACCAGACCAAACTTTTAAAATTGAGTTTCACTTTGACCCTGTATGGGCCTTACTTTGCATATATTCTTCACCATCTTCTACAAGAATACAGACGCATCGCTCGCCTACTACGCGCCCAAACAAAACGGCGCGTACCCCTAGTACTGAATGCCGTGTCTGAAAAGTTTCCAAGTACAGTGGATGCAGGTTCCCTGGATACAGTGAACGCCGTTCTTTCAGGTACGGTGTCTACTGTATCCCAGGGTACGGTAAACACCTTCTTTCGGTAAACAGTGGAGAGTGGCATTAGGTTTAACAGCCACAATCTTCATTATTTCTCCCAGTGTAGCGTAGCGTGGCCCAGCGTGGCCCAGCGCGGCCCAGCGTGGGTGCAACCAGTGCAGCTACACGATCCGCTCCGCCCCCTGACGGCCCTCACGACAGCAGCGCCGTCAGCGCCGTCAAAGCCAGCCGACCGCACCGACTGCACCGGCCAGGTCGACGGGCAAATGGCTCACCGAGGCCGCGCAGCACCGGCCCCGCGCGGGCAGGCCGAACCGAACAGTCCGTGGGCCCCCACTGGGGACGCGGCACGGGTCCTTCCTATCGGCCATCCGTGTTTTGTCTCGGGTGCGAACAGGCGCTGCGACCCATTCATGCGCGAATCAAGATTGTCCCCTTTTGTGTAGCCTATCTCGTGAAAAGGCTCCGTTCGCTGAAAGTTGAATGCAGGACTGGGCGGTTGCTCGAAATACGCAAAGAGGACGCTCCGAGTTTATTGAACTTTTGGGCTCTAAACAGTGTTCTATCTAGCACACTCTACCATCGAGCTCGAAACAACTGGGCCTCCCAGTATTGTCTGGCTGCAGTGTAGTACTGGGCGGTTCGCAGAGACCCCCTGCAAGCTCTGCAAGTGGCAGCAAGTGGCTTCAAATGGCGCCCCACCCTCTCCCCGCGCTCCTACAACAGGTCCGTTCCACGTTTCGCTGCAATGCCCCTTGACCTTGTTTCGGCAGCACGGCCGCGGCGGTCTATATTTCGATTCCAATGCGACTCGTCTGCACAGACTGCTCGTTATCTGACAGAACGGGAGGTGAGAGAGAGATTGAGTGAGAGAGAGAGGGGGGGGGAGAGAGAAATCCCGCAATGATACAGCCACAAATGCGAATAATGGGCGTCGCGGCGTGCAGCCGTCTGACTCCGGAAGGCTCGCTTCGTCGCTCTGTCTCCCTCGCACCCCTAAGGGGCGCCCCATGAGAGCGAGAGAGACAGAGCGACCAAGCGAGCCTTCGGACCAAGGCGGCTGCCGCGCTGCGCGGGCTTTTCTAGCGCCCCCTGCAGCACGAGAAGCAAAGTTACCTGGAACCCTGGTGGGCGGGGTGGGCGGGATGGGCGAGGTGGGCGATGTGTGCGGGGTGGCCGGTTTGGCCCCACGAGCCGCGGGAAAGCTGCAAATAATAAAAGCCACCTCATTAACACGGAGGAGGGGAGCGAAAAGCACTTGGCGTAACGGCTGCAGTGCAGGACTTGAGCGCGCAAAGGAAATGCCGCCAGGGCGTCTCGTTCGAAAGGGAACGGTCGGGAACGGTGGAACACCGCGGAACATCATGGAACACCTTGCAACGCCGTGGAACACACTGACGAAGCGCTCTGCAGCTACAAAAGAAGAGGCTGGCTTTGAACGCAACAATGAGTGCCAACAACAACAACAAATAACGCTGTTTTCTTTGTATTTTATTGTTGTTTTTTTCTTAGAATTTGGGCGTGGTAAGTAAAGCTAGTTCCGGTTTGATTCCCGGCTCAGTCCTTCTTTTCTCCCTCTAGACGTTAAACACTGGCTGTTTGCACATTTTGACGGGCGTTTGCAAAGGCTGCCAGAGCGGTTGACTCACCCGATATTGAGCTTCTGAAAGTCCCTGGACAAAATGGCAGCTTCATCCTCGACGTCGCTTCTGCTGAAGCTGCAACGGAGCCAGAAGAAGAAAAAACATGGAGTCAAGAAAGTCTGGATATGGGTTACCCGGTCCCCGTGGTCCTCCTTTTGGGTGCAGCGATAGTTGGGCCCTTAACCGCGGAAAGGGGCGTGGAGAACGATGCGACACTGAATGAGGCACGGCAAAACCAGTACCTGGGAGTCTCAGGCCAACCCTGGGAAGAGGTTCCCACTTTTCAGGTGCTGCCTGGGAGCCCCAGGGACTCGTGTGCACGGGTGCATCACATTCAATGCCACCCTGGCGAAGCATGGAGTCATTTTAACCTATTTTCATTCTCCCAGGATTTGTCCAGTTGATGCGAGAGTCGTGTTTAATTAGCAATGAACCGTCAAGTCCATGCACGTAATCTGACAAGAGAGTGGACCGGGGGGGGGCACCGTCTCCCAATCAATACGACTAGTGTTGGTTTTTTTCCGGAAAAATTAAATCAGCCGGAAAAAAACATACTTTTCCATGTTTTTTTCCGGAAAAAATGGGAAAGTATGAAAAATTTAAAAAAAGCGTTATTTAGTTTAAAAATATTACTGGATAATAGATTATCGTGTCTAAAAGCTCGTATTTGGTAAATATGACGATGTATGTCACGCAATATCTTCTTTGCGTGGGCCCTGAAGGCATTTCCACGTTTGGGGTTGTTTGAAGTTCCCGCTTCATGACACGTCTCTCCCGATTGGTCTATACTGGGGGTACGTGCCGTTTAGTCTGGGCGCGTAGTGTGGCTGAGCGATGCGAATTGACATAGTTTGTGCACTTTGGACTTTGCTTGAGTAGACGAAATATCCATCTTACGGGCTCATATTCAGTGAACTTTAGACCAGGGGTAGAAATAGAAGTGATTTTCGCTATCAGAACACAAAAAACTGCTGGGATCAATGTCAAACTCGATTTAAAAATTGCATCAATACTTGTTGCATCAATACTTGAAAACCTTATTCGTATTTTTCAGAATTTTAGTTCCCACACCATACACTCTTAAGGGGCTTTTGAGGTAATTGGGGTATTAGATAAATTAAGATGTTTCTCATTTAAATACTTCCCAATCACAAAAAGACAAAACCTAGTTAAAACACTCAAAAGTTAGAAAATTTTCAAAATTGGAAAAAAACGAAAAGTATAGCCATGGAAAAAAACGAAAAAAACATAGGAAAAAAACGTATTTTTCCATGTTTTTTTTCCAACTTCCCAACACTAAATACGACTTACTTGTTGAGGTCGTTGTCGTGCCGGTCGTTGACTTCCACCTCCCGCTGGCGTGGCTGGCGCTGCTGGCGTGGCGGGCTTCCGGCGGCGCCCTCCAGCCTGCAAAATCCACCGTCACGATGTAAGGAAGCCCTCCGCGGGAGCTCCGGCGGGGAAGCGCATGGAAAGTCGGTGCGTTTCTGAGAGCCAAAGCCGATTTCGACGGTCAGAGACGAGTTTTGCGCTGCATTCGACGAGTTTCGCCGCGTGCGGCCGCATGTGGGCAAAACCAAGGCGGGACGGAAAGCTCCTTCCGAACGCACGGAATCGCTTGGCCTGAGAGGCGAGCGGCACGCTGCGCGTATAATGGCTTTACCGAGCCATGGCACTGCTCTGGCACTGCTGCCAGCGAGTCGCAGCGAGCGCACTCACTCCACTGCGCATTGAATGCCAGCCTCTCGCGGAGGGTTTCTAGGAGAACAGGCACATACAATTTGAGGGGCTTTTCTCCAGAACTAAGCTGGTGCCACACCGCAAAAAAAAAAAAATTTCTTGCTTTTTAACTTTCTTGGTTTTTGCAAGAAAAAAATATCTTGACACAAGAAATTTTTTCCTTCAAACAGAAAAGTCTGCAAAATAAAGAAAATCATGAAAGGTCTTCTAAAGAAAACGAGAAAAATTGAAATTTTTTTCATCTAAGAAGTATGTTTTTGGAAAGCAGTGAGATGGGGGAAAACTAAAATTGTACTATCGGGCCCAAGATGCACTGGTAAAACAAAGTCATAAAAACTACGCCCTTTCAGGGCGCTATAAGGTAATGCCGTCGGAAGAGCATGGAAATTTAGCCGAAGTCCTACAATTCAATTCTCGCCCCTCTCAAGGCCTGTACAGGCGCAGCATAAATGTGATGCCATTGTTCCGCCAGTGTGTCTGCGCCGAGGCAGTGGGCGCCTCAGACCGCTGCTGCCGACTGACTGAAATCATCCGCCGCCACACTGGCATTCAAACGGACACTGGCCGAGGCAGCCGAGGCGAGTCCGTGGCCAAATTGCATTCATTGCAGAGCGGCATGCCGGCATAGTTCCAGCCCCGGCTAATCAGCTTTCGAGACTGACTGGCGCGCGGAAACAGGCGGGAATGCACCGATAGTTCTATCATTTCCGTCGACATGGTTACAAATTATTTTTGCAATTTTGTGTTTTGCAGTGTCTGCCCCAGCGGCGTGACACACACAGCCTCCCCCTTTAATTTCCAGTGCAGTGAAGCGGCAATTATTCCCGTCCAAGAGACTCCGCATAATTAGGAGGGTTTGTCCTTACCGGATGGCGGCGGGGCTCATATCGGCGGCGTTGTCGGCGATGTCGACCGGGGCGTCGGCGGCGGGGGTCTTGTTGGCGAGGGGGTTGTTGGCGGAGGCGTTGGCGGCGGGGGCGATGTCGATTGAGGCGTTGGAGGCGGGGCTTTTGGTGGCGGTGGCGTTGTTGGCGGGGGCGTTGTCGGCGGTGGTGTTGTCGGCGGGGGCGATGTCCGCGCTGACGGCGGGGGTGAGGACGACGCCCACCCCGTCGTCCCTCTTCTTGCCGCCATTCTTGGCGTTCCTCAGGTCGGCCACTGTGCCTCGACGAGCCGCGTCCTTCTCCTTACTCGGCTTCATCCAAACTGGAACCAGTGAGGCGGCAGTGCCAGGCGTTAGCACACTCAAAACTCCCATCGGACAACAGTGTACCGACCCGTAACGCAGACAACGCGGCGGTACCGAACGTTTTCGCAACCGTCAACGTGCAAACAAAATGATTGCCGTGAGGAATCTTTTCGATCCGAGTGAGATCGATTTATTTGTTCGAGAAACGACATGTTTGTTTTGGGTGTATCCCTACGACGTGTGCAGCAGGACAAGTCGAGCGGCTGTAACGCAACACGTCGCGGAGAGTGCCCCGCCGCGCCCCGCGCCGCAACAGGCGGGGTAGGCGGAGGTGGGCGGAAAAGGGCGCCAAGTTGGCGCGGCACGGGGCTGGTTCCGCGCAGGGCGCCCCCCGCCCCCTCTCTTTTTGTCTCTCCCTCTCCCCTCCTCTCTCTCCCCCGCCCCCTCTCTCTCCTCCTCTCTGTTTCTGTCACCCTCACAAGACCTCTGCGGAGAGACACAGACGGAGGGATAGAGAGAGAGAGAGAGAGAGAGAGAGAGAGAGAGAGAGAGAGAGAGAGAGAGAGAGAGACGCGTGGCGGTGCGGCATCCACGAGGGCCTCGTCATCCGCGAGTTTACAGCACACCCGACGCGGAACGTCGGAACGCGAACGCGAGCGAAAGGGAGCGAAGGGCGGAGGCCTGCTGCGTTCCGGAACGGCAGCGAACGGCTGCGAGTCGCGCTACTCCAGCGCAGCTTCGCGCAGCGAGTGCTGCTGATGCACATTTATAGCGCGGTGTTGGCATCTTTCTCTCTCTCTGCCTGCCTGCCTGCCTGCTGCCTGTCGCCGAGCATCGCGCGACCTCGACAAGCAGAAAAAGGCGAGCAATTTCCTTCCCGCCGGCAGGGCGCAAGCACGCAGCAGCGAGTCCTTTTATTGCTGGTCCACTATGAGAATGTGATATATACCGCGAGAAAAAAGGCAAGGGTTTTCTTTTTTTTTTCATGCGAGCGTTAGCTCCACTTGGATTCTTGGTCCTGAAAAAAAGGAACAATCCATACATCAGCCCATGACGGCGGGCAATAGAAATCACGCGCTTGTGTCACCCTGCAAGGGACGCGACTTCCTTTCGTGGAAGTTGTTCTTGAGAACATTTGTAAACCACGAAGAGCACTTCTTTGCCTGTTTTGATGGGCTCCGGGGAAGCATCATTCACGAACGCGAACAAGTTTGAGGTTTGGACATGATTGACCAAAAATAACCCCGTCCCTCCCTCACTTCTTCCCGATTCCAGCCGTTCGCGACGCTGATTTATTTCTCCTGCCACCACCGGTCTGTCTGGTCTGATCGCCATCAATAGTCTTCCGCCTCGCCGTCCGGGCCGTGCGGGCCGTCCCCTAAGCGGCTTATAGGCGCCGCCGTGGGGGTAGTAGGGGCGGGCCGGGCCAGGTACGCACTGTGGGAAAAAATCACGGTAAATCCTGTAGTGATTAGTACAGCTGTCACTGTAGTTCAGAGTACAGGATTTACTGTACTTTTTTAACAGGATCTACTGTACTTTGTACGGGATTTACTGTACCACAGGAGTGGAGTACGGAATATCCTGTACCAGGTACAGTAGATACTGTAGCCAGGCACGGTAAATCCTGTGTTCTGAACTACAGTAAATCCCGGCAAAAAAATTAACGGGATCACTGAGAATGAAAGAGTCATGATCATGACTAAAATTTTGGGCGAGGAATTCTTTATTACCCAAATTTGGGTGAGGAAATTTTCCTCGCCCAAATTTGGGTGAGGAAAGTTTCCTCACCCAAATTTGGGTCATAATACTATGGTGCTATATAGGGAGCTGATACACCCTTCCTCACTCAAAATTGGGCGAGGAAGCTTTCCTCGCCCAAATTGGGCGAGGAAACATTCCTCGCCCAAATTTGGGTGAGAAAGTAAACCTCGCCCAAAATTGGGTATTGATCATGACTTTTTCATTCTCAGTGATTCACTGTGGTTTTTTCGCACAGTGCGGCGGGAAGGGGGAGGGGGGTTGGGGGTGATTGCGGGCTTCGGGTGTGTACATCGACGTGTCCTAAATGAACTCACGTATCTCCACCAGACTGATAGAACCATCGTATTTCCCGGACGTCGGTAGAACTACCGTACTCCGGCGGCGCCGATAGAAAAGACGTAATTCGGGAGATCTGGGAAGACTATTGTATCGCTTTTTCGGCCTGTTTTTAAGAGATTGAATTGAAAGGTTAACTGTGTCTTACAATTTTGGAAAATGAAAGGAAATATTATGGGTTGACAGTGACGTCAAACTCATTTCATTTTCCTTATTTTAGTGACACTTAACCTTTCAATTCAATCTCTTAAAAACAGGCCGAAAAAGCGATACAATAGTCTTCTCAGATCTCCCGAATTGCGTCTTTTCTATCGGCGCCGCCGGAGTACGGTAGTTCTACCGACGTCCGGGAGATACGATGGTTCTATCAGTCTGGTGGAGATACGTGAGTTCATTTAGGACACGTCGACATTGTCCCCGTCCACTCCAACCCGCGGACGCCGATACAAGTTCGGACTGGCTGCACACGCACGTGGGGGTCTGCACGATGTGGGCCCAGGGCCCTGGGCCTGCCAGGTCCCAATGCGGGCCGCGGTTCGACTTGAGTCCGGCCTTCGGTCTGCCGGGGGGTGGGACGGTGGAGGCGGCCCCGTCGTGAGCAGAGCGAACCAATGCGCGTTCCAAATACGCAGTCCCAAAGGGAGTGTCATTGGGGGTTGGCTTGCGCGCACGCGTGCTTGTGTGTGTGAGTGTGTGCGCCCGTGCGTGAAGTGAGGATCATTATACCTAGACTCCCCACAGCTGAAAGTTTTTCCAACACCTTCTATCCATTGTTGAAAGTTATAACTACCACATTTCATTCGTTCTTCAAACCTTAACCCTCTTCGCCGACCTCAGGTATTGACAGAAGTCGCACCGTTTACATCTAACCCAAAGGACATCGGAAGGGATAGTTCACTTCTTAGAGACGTCACATTATCGAACCAGCGCGCGGCTTCGTGGCTGACACGGCAAGGCAAGGCCACGCTGTCGCTTGTCACCGCTCCAATCCATTCGAAGGCCCGCTTTGGGCCGACATGAAATGTGTTTGAAGCTCATGCGTGAAAGGCCGCAAGCAGAATAGCCCCCGCCCCTCCAGGCTGGCTGTGGGTCCGCCACAGTGATGCCCACCACCAAATGATTGATGATGGCCCGCTAATGTTGCTGAAGCCATTAGGCCTTGATCGCCCCAAAATTGGCGAAGGTCTATCGCTCATTCACTCTGAGTGAAGGTGCTGAGCGGAGAACTGTCGACACTGTCAACTCGGCCGGAACTCACCCAGGTACTTGAGCAGCTTTCGCGTGATCTCCTTCATGGCAGCGGTGGTGGTGGGTTCATGGGCCAGCAGCGCGGGCCCCTTGTTCAGCCTGCAAAGCAAAGGGAAACATCAAACGGTCAGTATTTTCTTTGCGCTATTCCAAATGTCCCTATCTGTGTCTGCTCTGCCGTGTTCTAAAATTGCCTCGGGCCCCGATTTGTTGTCACTGGTCGCATTGACGGCTGCGTCACCGAGACACAGACGGCGCGCGTGGGGTGGCACTATTGGCAGATATCGCCAATTGCCTTTTTTTCCGTTTCGCACAACAAAGTGCCAGGGAACTGGAAAACAATCAGAATTCTTCAGAGGCAGAGGACGAAAAAAAAAAAAGAAAAGGCTGGAAGAAAGACGTCTCCAGTCTTATTCTACTCAGATTCTTTGAGCACACTCCAAATCCAGGGTGTCTAGAAACTATACGCCTTAGGCGCATGCCACAGAAATGGAACTGCCTTAAGGCGCCTTGATTCTACACGCCAAAGGCGTATACCCCATTGAGCACCTTTTGCAGATAGAAATTAGCATGTGAACACCATTGGTCGAAGGAAAGGTGCGTGCATTGTACACACCCTGGATCATAGGCACTGAGCTCAACAGGACTCAAGGTGCGTAGAATGTAAACACCCTTTAAGGCCTCGGTAGGCATGGCCTCGGCCAAGGGCGGTGTTTGCATTCAACGCACCTAGAGTCCTGTTGAGCTCAGTGCCTATGATCCAGGGTGTGTACAATGCACGCACCTTTCCTTCGACCAATGGTGTTCACATGCTAACTTCTATCTGCAAAAGGTGCTCAATGGGGTATACGCCTTTGGCGTGTAGAATCAAGGCGCCTTAAGGCAGTTCCATTTCTGTGGCATACGCCTAAGGCGTATAGTTTCTAGACACCCTGGATTTGGAGTGTAGCCGATCGGCAGCCAGAGCGTTGGCGCAATTTTCGTAAGAGGGGAGGTCTGTATTGCAGGGCATCTGCCTTTCACTAAAAACTTTTCTTTGGCAATGCCATTCCAAACATAACCGTCTTCCTGCGCGTCAAGCAGAAGTGCGCCCCGAACTAATCAGGCGAATCAGGCACCTCTGGGAGTCCTGCAACCCAAGGAGAACTATGGGAACTTAAGAGTGTACCGATTGCACACAAAGAACACTGTACTGAGTGCAAACTTTTAGTAACAAAGTGTGAGTTTGTTCACACTTGGATTTTCATTGAGCGCCGAGTCTGTACCTCCCCACCCCTTGCAAGGCGTTAGCAGCCCCGCCCGAGGCGCAATGTGTCACCTGGGCGCTGTCTGGCGTGAAAGAGGCGGAGTGACGGGAAGTGGATTTCCCAATCGGCCTGCCAGCTTACCCGTCCTTGTTCAAGCAATCCTTATTTCCTCTTTGATTTTATCGACAATTTCTCTGGAATGATTCGGAGGGTGCAGCCAGCCCGCATTTTCATATCGGACCGTATTTGCTAGTCTCTCCGAGCAGAGAGGGCCGAGTACACGTGAAGGTCGCTCTCGACCCGACCGAAGCTCAGTCAATTACTGGGGGGCATCCAGCGGTCATGGACGAAAAAAAAACTCCAAAGAAGAAAGCGTCCACCAAATAAACGGGATGGATCAGTTGACCTACCTCCCAGTTGACCTACCAATGTTCTTTCTCGTTCTAGGAACGTAAGGTCACGCTCGTTGGAACGTGAATTGTGTCACGTTCGTTTGAGGACAGTACCACATCCACTCACTTTTTCACATTGGCATCATGCGTATGCCGAGAGCAATATACACTTACCCAAAAACGCTTCACTTGTGACAAATAATTAAAACTAAACCGGGATGGTTACAAATGTTCCTGCTCTCAACGACAGTAAATGAACCACACAAACAACAAGGCCCCTTTTCGAGGGAGTGGGACCTAGCAAGACAACCGAATCGGGACTGGCCGTCCAAGTATATCTCGTGCTTATCTTTGGGCGACAGGCCTGCGTGCGTCACGGAGTCACAGCCCTTCCCACCGTGACTCGCAGACTAGCCAGCGCCGAACCCGGGCAATGCATCTCGCAGTGCATTTGAATCAGGGCCTTGCGACCTGAAGCCTGCTATGGAACCAATCACGCATTTCGACAACTAACACAAAAACAACTACTCGCAGTGCTCCCGGATTTTCCTGCCAGTGGAATTGATTGAGTGTTGACCGATAGTTATTTCATGTCAGGAACTGGGAAGCAGCGCACTGATGGCCGGTGCGAGGCCCACCCTCACATTGAACTGGCACAACGTGGCTAGGGATGGGCACTTAATGCAAATAAAAACACCTGATTATGCGGTAAAATTTTGTGGTATTATGCGGGACTTATGCGACTAAAATGGCCCAAAAATGCGCTTTTTATGCGCAAAAAATCCTTCTTTTCTGCAAAAAATGCAAAAAGGGGCAAAAATAGAAACAGAGGGCAAAATGCATCAAAAGGGTTAATTTTTAAACAAACCAAAATGGTCACAGTTTAAATTTTTTATTGTGAATATATTAAAAACTTCGATCAGTGGGAACGCAACCAGCCAACCATCCTCCACTGACAACCTGCACCACGCGAAAAATTCAAATTTTAACTTGTGTTTCTGCTTTAAAACTTCTAAAAACACGGTAACCGACCAAAAGAAATAATCTTAGGAATCAATTAACAGCAAAATGCGCTTTTTGGGTTCGAAATGTGAATTATGCGAGAAAAATGCGTGAATTATGCGCATTATGCGTAAGTGGCCAATTATGCGACCATTATGCGATTTATAAATGTGCCAGGCAATGCACCCGGACTCCAAACATATCAAAATTTTTCCATTTGAAATAAGTTTAGAAATTATGCAAAATATGCGCTTGCATATAGTGCCCATCCCTAAACGTGGCACAACACCATTCCGGTCCATGATGTCTGTCCGCTTGAATATTTTATGCGACGGCAGCCTGCCAGAAGATCAAGTTGGCAGCCTCAGACACCACAGGAACCAAGACCTCCGATTTGCCCACCTGGGACACGGGGACGGAATTCGAGCCGTCCTTGCCCGCAGGGCTGTACACTCACAGCGGCCGTCCCTGCGCGCGTTGTACACGGCGAGCCGGGCCGCACGAGCCCCAACTTGAAGCCGACTAGTTGCGGAACGTCCGCAATGCAAACTACAAACGATGACTTCGGACGAGTCGCAGGCGAGTCGCAGGAAAGCCGAAGGAAACTTCCGGAGCCCCGCATGGTTCCAACAGTGCAGCGCGGCGTGGCTCCCGAAGTGGCTCGGGCGGCAGGGAATGCCCCGCAGTGGTGACGTCAGAGCGTGCAGTGCGCCGCCATGCTCCGCACTCGGCTCGCTCCGAGGCTGCTCTTGCCGCGGCCGTATGGTGACAGCGCTGGGGTCGCACGGCCGTGCACGGCCGCCACTCCACAGAGGCATTGCCATCCATCGGCACTCTGGCTGATGGCATCCCACAAAGGGTGAAGGGCTTAGCGCAGGGCCACGCCACGCATCAGCCATCACTCTCGCACTCCCAGGGCAGCCCCGAGAGAGACGAACCGACGAAAGCTCGCTTGGAATTATTTCTCAGCCCCCCCCCCCCCTCCGCGCCCCCGGCGCCAGCTTGCTAGAGCCCGCTTGCTGGCCCGGAGGAATTTCATCTTGCGAGACATATCAGTGTCGTGACACAAGCCTTGCTCTGTTGTCTACATGCAGCCCTTTGCCAGTCCCGCGCAATCCGCTCCTGCCTTGGCAGAGATTAACTCCGAGAGGAGTGGCCTTCGGGGGTCTGCGCTCCGTTTTCCCAACTTTATTGCATGCCGTGAGGTCCTCTAGCAATGTAGCCTCATTAGTCAAAGGGTCATGTCAACGAGGGTTTTCTTCACGTATCGCATATTCGTGGAATAGAGGCGCTTTGATTTCGATCCACCAAACGATGCCCGAATTGGCAATTGACCCCAATTAACTCTAAGTGCTATCAGGCCGCCGCATCCACGGCAAGCAGTGCGATACTCGGAAGCAATCTCTCCCCGACGTGGATTGCACGGCCACAGCCTGGCGGTGCAAGGCTCAGAAGCTGTCCGAGAATCGTGACTGGCAGCACTGAGCTTATCTGCAATCGAAAAAGGAAGAAAATCGGACACCGGCGTCGACTTTCATTCCCACGACGCCGAGTGGATGGTAGCATCCCCTCTTTCCCTTGGTCCACCTGCTTCCACCAAGTTGGTAATTGACTTCGGGTCACGTTATCACTTTTTAATCAACTCCGTCTTCAGTTGGAGGCTCACTCGCCAATCAACAATGGATTAGCCTCTCAACTTAAGTCCATCTCGGGGCAGATGGGCACTCCTCGAGTTGACGTGGAGGCGACTTAGTCGCGACTCGCGTCACGTCAAACACGCCACTGTTATTATTGGCGCTGTCCAAACGCAGACAGCGTTCCCGCGCCCCTTCCCTCTGTCCCCATCCCCTCCCACCCCCAACCCCAATACCTTCTACTGCTGCCGCCCGGACGCCACAATGAAGGCGTGTCCCTGGCCGCCGCATCTTTTCATCGTCGCGCCGGTAGAGGGGGATCAACGTCGCGCAGCGTTCTAGTGGAGCCTCCTCAGCCCCCACCCCTCTCCCCTCCCGGGCCCACACCGCTCGAGCACCGCTCCCCCGAGGCCCCACCGACCTAAACCGCCTCCGCCGCCGGCGGTCCAGCGCCATCCATCCCACCTTTCACGCGCGACACGCACAAAAACACAAACAGATGCGCAAGCGCGCTCAAGCTTGTCAAGCTGGAGTACAGCATCAGCCGTGAAATCTTTCACTAAAAGACCACGGGGTAATAAAAGGCGGTCAGTGCGGTTGAGAGGATTGTCTTGTCGGTAGGGACTTTATCGTGGATCCGGATGAGTTGTCGGTTGACACGCCATGACAAATGCTTTCCCTATCGCGTTCATCCTTTTTTTTTGTTTGTTCCGACCAAATGGAATTCTTCCTTTGCAGGTTCGACATAAAAAATTTGTGGGCGAGCATCAGGACCAAGATTGGACAGTCAATGGACGTAGTCTGCATTATTTGGCAATTGCCAC